AATGCAGTGTCGTACTGGTGAAATTTTCCGATAATTGACAATGCTGTGCAGAAGTGAATTACCGCAATATTAAAATGTTATCTGTTAGCCCTGAGTATTTAACATCTTTCATGGTTGCATAAAGGTCACGATGAAGCAAAGTTTACCCGTTCACAACCCATTCACGATAGTCTCAATAAATACTGATTACAAAAATGTATTTGGAAATGTGAAACAATGTCTAATGATCAGGTTTCATGACTTGATGGTCACATATTTGGCATTTTGAAAACTACTACTCAAAGAAAAATGGATTACTTCAGTATTGCAATATTTGATTCATTGTGAGTAATAACAGAACAGAAAGAATGCAAACCATGTTGTGTTGTTTGCCATATCACTGTGAAATTAATGCAAATTTTCTCATAAAAGCATGAACCAAACAACCCATACCAATCATGATTTTTATGCAATAAAACACACTTTTTACACGCATATTTTTATATATTTTATTCCACCATCGATGCCTGGTAAAAAACACCATGGGCCTATAACCATGAATGCTCTTAACTTGTTAAATGTCTAAAAACAATAGATGGGCTTACACTCAGGGAGGGGCTTATGACCAGGGAAGTATGGTAATTGATGTTGAAAAACATGCATATTGCATGATTATCTAATTATTATTAGCCAATTTCTGATATTTCAAAAAATTAGATACTCTGAAATAAATGAGACTGAAAATCACAAATTTATTATATTTATTATTTAAAAGGCTAATCTTTAACTTTTAATTTACGTATAATAAGTCTCAAAGACTCTCAGCAAACATGGGTTTTCTTTGATTTATTTTGAATGCAACTGTGTTATTGTAATAACTTAATAGCAAAAATCAGCATTAATTCATGTTATTACTTTTGCCATCTCAAGCTTTTTCTATGGTGCCACTCCATATCAATTTATTGCCATTTTAGCACTATTCTAGAACTGGATCTTCATCATGTATGGGTTGATGAAAACTGCTGTTTAATTATTCCTGCACATTATCAGTTATTTCACATTATAGTCAGGCTCCAATAAAATTATAGGAATGATTTTGGAGTATGAACTTGTTTTGAAGTTCCTTTGTAAAAATGTTTTTATTATAGTTATATTTAAATATTGCATTGTATCTGTTTGTATCTAAAGTTGCTAAAAGAGTGGTCAGTAGTGGTCGTAAGCATGTTATTTTTGATCAGGAAGTATCAGTGAAGTTATTTGAAGATGATGAGACAAGATGTAAGATGAGTAGATCACCATTTCAAGACACAAGTCAAGATGAAGAAGTCAGTGAGCAAACCAAGAATAAGGCTACAGCCAACATATATGAGCAGTGTCCAGATGAAAAGGTATGCACACAGACCATTCAACTTTTCTATAAAGAATACCTCTAATAATAAATGATGGGGAATTGTGAAAGCAATATTATTCAAAGCAAATTTTGTTTGTTCGTCATTTAGAAGAGAGTACGTAAATTCACTACGTTCAATTACCTACCATAGACTCTGGGCAGTCAAAATGACTATTTTGAACTGTAGGCATTAATCTGAGATTCAGCCAGTGACGGAGAGAGAAATCTAGGTCAGGGGAAGCCACATTACCTCAAGATTTTTCTTCACGTCACAGACCACGTGACCGAGGTAATGAGGCGCAGCCATATTGCCTTCTTCGCCACTCTGTTTTTTCTCTGCTTTCGGTGTGGATCGATAAAAACGATGCGATCAGTCATCCAGATTTTTTTCCTGTCTGAGTTTTTGGCCTGACTAGCTGTCGCCTGCGTGGCAGTCCACGCTGTGGCTGGTAGGATAAGCCTTTCTTATTATTTACCCCCATGTCGCCTTTTTGTGCGTATTGCCTTACAAGAAAGAAAAAATTCTGTTGACGCAAATGTGGCCACGTTCGTTGGATCTCTCTGTGTCAGCTTTTGACTGTAATTCGTTTCTCTCATGCATGTCTTGTTCATTTTTACCAGTGTGTTTTTAGAAATGGAAATGGGGCGAATGTACAACAGTTGCCACTAGGAAATACCAGCTTGCAACCCACATAGTAATGCTATTTGTGTTTCGACTGTGTGCAGGGCTCGGGGTTTTGCCTAGAAGATTTTTTTTGTAACAGCTGGGGTTCCGAGGCCTGGGATGCTTTCCAAGGCTGTGTGCAAATTACCAAGACTGGCAACGTCGTTCGGGTTTGCAGCAGTCGCGCGTACAGTAATGTGAGCGTGAATGAGTGGTCAGGCCTTTCGGAAGGAACCAAGCAGAGCAGGACATGGGGTTGTACATTGGCATTGTACCCCTCTGCACTCTGCCAGCCAGGGATAGTCTGTTGGACCCAGTGACAAGGGATTAATTTTTTCCTGAATACTGCTTCCACTACGGGTCACTCCTCTTTCAAGGACTCGCAGACACTCCCAAAGGGAGTCTGCCCTCCATCACGGCACGTGCAA